CTGGACAGGAAAGCAAGTGCCTCCCATCACACAGGCGACTGGGCTGAGTCTCCTCCCTCTGCCTGGGGGGCCGTGGACCCCCAGCAGTGAGCCGGCACCTCCCTGCCTCACCCTGGCCACACGGGCCTTCCTGCTGTCGCTCAAAGACGCCAAGCTCATGCCTCCCATAAACGCTTTGCAATGGCTGTTCCCCTTGTCCAGAATGCCCTTCCCCTAGACCAGCATGTGGCTCCTTTGTCAATATTCAGCTCTCAGCTCAGGGCCACACCCTCTGGGACCCTCCCCCAGACACCCACTCACTTTCTCACATCCCCTTATGTTATATGGGGGGGGTCTCCATTTTTTAAACAGCATTGCTGAGGGATAACTGACATTCATCAACTACACATATTTTTTTTTTTTTTTTTTTTTTGAGACAGAGTCTCACTTTGTTGTCCAGGCTAGAGTGAGTGCCGTGGCGTCAGCCTAGCTCACAGCAACCTCCAAACTCCTGGCCTGAGTGTACCTTTTGCCCCCTCCAAGCCTCCCGAGTAGCTGGGACTACAGGCATGCGCCACCCATGCCCGGCCTAATTTTTTAAATATATATACAGTTGGCCAATTAATTTCTTTCTAAATTTATAGTAGAGACGGGGTCTCGCTCTTGCTCAGGCTGGTTTTGAACTCCTGACCTCGAGCAATCCGCCCGCCTCGGCCTCCCAAGAGCTAGGATTACAGGCGTGAGCCACAGCGCCCGGCCTAACTACACATATTTAAAATGCACAGTTGGATACGTTCTGACACACGTTCATGCCCATAACTACGTCACCGCAATGGAGACGGTGAACATGTGCCCCCGTCCCCGGAAGTTTTCTCCTACCCCTTTACTCCTCCTTCCCATCCACCCATCCCCACGTGGCCACTGATCTGCTCCTGGCACTACGGAATAGTGTGCACATTTCAGAAGTCGCACGTAAATGGAATCACACAGGATGTGCTCTGCTTCAGCTGGACTTACTCTGCGTAGCAGGATTATTTTGAGATTCGTCCACGTTGCTGCATATTATCAGTAGCTCATTCCTTCCTCTTGTCCCACAATTTGTTTATTCACTCACTTGTTGATGTACATTTGGGGTACTTTCAGTTTGGGGCTATGATAAACAAAGCCCTAGGAGCCTTCTCAGGCAAGTCTGTAGGTTGACATGTGCTTTCTTTTACTCGGGGGCAATGCCCAGCAGCTGGAGGGCTGGGTCACATGGTGTTAAGCAGGATGAACTTTCTAAGCAGCTGCAACCTATTTTCCAAAATGGTTGGACCAGTGTACGTTTCCAGCAGCAGAGTTTGAAAGCCCCAATTTCCCCACATCCTGGGCAGTAGTTTTAATTAGCCATTCCAATTAGCCATTCTAATAGGTATGTAGGGGTATGTTATTGCGGCTTCCATTTGCATTTCTCTAATGACTAATGATGCAGGGCATCTTTTCATGTGCTTATTTGCTATTTATATATCTTCTTAGATGAAGTGTCTGTTCCTTTATGTTATTTTGTGTATAGTAACTCTCAGTATAATTTATTTGCTTGCACATGATTGTTTATCTGCTCGTCTTCCCACCCCCCACCTAGCGCCACTAAGCTATAAGCTCCATGAGGCTGGGACACAGCCTGCTTGCTCCTCTGGGCTCCCTACACCTGGAATAGCACCTGGCACTTAACGGGCGGATGCTCAATGAATATTTGTTGAAGGAGTGACTGAATGAGGCTGAATTCTGTCTGGCTCCTGCACTGCCTCTCTGTGTGGTCCTGAATTAATTTTCCGGGACTCAGTTTCCCAGCTTGTAAAATGGACCAGGGGTGTTGGACTCAAAGTCCTTGAGGGGCCTCCCAGCTCAGGCTTGGTCTGGGTTTGAGGCCTCATCTCCTCTTAGCCACCTGGGGTTCTCCTTCACTCTGCACCTTCCAACCTCGGCAGAGCAGGGAGGTGGCCCCCAGATAGCCTTGCACTGTGGACAGGAGACGGAGTGGCACTTCTCTTGAATCTGGGAGCCTGGACCCCAGAGCCCACCCTGCAGCATCCATTCAGAGGCACGAGGTGCCCCGGGGCACAGGCCTGCTGCCTCTGCCCACAGAGCTGACAGGGAGTTGTCATGGACCCCGAGAGCGACACACTCCTGCCGGACTGTTCCCCAGCCCTGCCCATGCCTTACATATGCAACCAGGGCCCCCAGAACCCAACAGTCTCCCCTCTGTTCCCTGACCATAAGCTCTAAGGGCCTCTCATCCCTCCACATACACCTGGCGCTGGGCCACTGGGCTGGCGCTCATGGCCACAAGGGAGGGAGGAAGACCCCAATGTCAGTGACAAGTCAAAGGAAAAGGACCGACCTGGACACTAAACTCCTGGGTTCCAGCCCCTTCACTCCCACCTCGATGTGTGATCTTGGGAGGTCCTTTCCATGCTCTGGCCTCAGTTTCCCCATCAGTGCATTGAGCAGGAAGAGGGCAAAATGTTCCAAGGGCCTGTTCAGAGCCGACCCCCAGCAACGTGGAGGCTGCCAGGCTAAATGCCCATTGGTCTCTTGTTCCTCTGGTTGTTTCTGTATCAGTCGGGGTGCGCAGGAGTGTGGGGGTTACAACGGGAGTTACAGGCAGAAGCGGAGGCACATTCCCGGGAGCTCTCAGGGACAGAAGGATGCCCAGGTGGCAACGAGGTTGTGCCACACCCAGACAGCATGAAGCCCAGAGTGGTCTGCCAGCGCTCAGCTGGGCTATGCAGGGAGACACAGACGGGGTCCCCTGTGGACACCCCACGTGGACCAACCACTGGATTGGACATTCATGGTAGCCAAGGAGTTATCTGAGGGGCTCACAGGGAAACCCAGGGGCTCCAGAATAGAGCAGGGCCGGAGTTGGCGTTGGCCCCACAACAACTAGAGTGGGAACTATGGGAGCAGCAGCAGGCCCGGCCCAGCCTGAGCAGAGGACAGAGACGATGGCCAGGCTGGGGCTGAGCCTGGGCCAGAGAACAGAGGGCAGGGATGCTCAGAAACCTGACACCCATGGCCTGGCCCGGGACACAGAGCCCCGGCTGGGTTGAGCTGGACCAGGTTCCTGGGAGAGAGGAAAAGCATGGCTTCGCTTCTTACTGCCTCGAGCCCAGAAAACACGCAGAGCCCCTTGTCCAGGGCGGCTACGTGGAGCAGAGAGGAGGTCAGGGGTTGGCAAACCAGGACTAAAGCGGCCCCGGCAGCTGCTGGGAGGATCCAGTGCTCAGGGCTAGAGCGGCTCTGGGCAAGGCGAGATGGAGGGGGGCTGCGGAGACAGGAGGTCCTCTGGCGTGCAGAGAGGTGGAAGGCGGGGAAGAAGGGGACAGCCTAGAAGCTGGGGAGAGTGCAGGGAAGAAGAGAAGGAGATGAGGAGAAAAAGAAGAGAGGGCAGGGCCACCAACAAGGAGGAGTGGGGGATGCCAGTTACTGCTTGCAGAAGAGAGGTGAGGTCAGGGAGGAGAGGACAGAGGGGTGCTGGGGAGCAGCAGCCAGCAGGGAAGTTTCCGAGGCTCCTTGCAGGAAAGGGCCCCGAGGGACAGAGCTGACCCTCGTGCCACCCACAGACATCTCCCAAAGCAAGCTGCCATCGTCAGGTGGCAACACGGAGCCCTGATGAACTGCAAAATCGTTTTAAATGAAAGTCTAAGCATCAAAATGCTGAAGCCGCTGTCACACTGTGAGTTAGTTGCCATGGAGAAACTCGGCCCGGCAGCCACGCCAATCAGACGCCAGTGGGAGACAGGTCCCACACGGGCTGGGTCAGGGCTGGCACCAGGGAGGGGGTGCTCCACCCAGAGCCAGGACAGCTCCCCACCTGCCAGCCACGCTTCCCTGAAAGTCACCCGAACTGGATATTCTCCAATTTTGAAGGCACAGAGCTGATAGGGAAACTGAGGCTCAGAGGAAGGGAACAACCTGCCAAGGCCACAGAACAAGTCGATGGCCTGGCTGAGCCCACATCCCAAGTGTCCTGCCAGAGGTCTTCCCAGGACGTAGTCCGTTTCTCTTTGAAGACCCCACGTGCCAGGCATTTCAAAGCCAGCCCAGTCTCAGGAGTAAGTCAACACCCTAAAATGTGGTGACTTCCCAGAGTGGGGCCGAACAGGCTGAGTGGGCACAGGGGACCCTGCTGGGCTGGGGAGAGGCCATCGGTGCTTGTCCCCGACCCCGCCCACCCAGCTGAGCACGGCTGGTAAGGGTCTTCTCTCCCTGGCTGCAGATTGCCCCGCACCCGCCTGCGTGCTCATGCCCCTGAGCCTTCGCTCGGGCTGATCCCTCTACCTGAAACGCCCACCCCATTTGATGCCCCTTTCTTCAATCCCAGCTTAAAGGAGGCGACCCTTGCTATGCCCCGTGCTAGCCACGCCACGATGCACAAGTGATTTCCTTGGCCCCTCTTCTCCCACCTGGACATCGACAGTCATCTTTCCCACACTCCTTGCACCTGTGAGGCTGATCTGAAGTCACATATGAGTCGCAGGTGCAGCCCCTGCAGCCTCATCTCTCACTCCCCTCCCCCCAGCTCACCCCTCTGCCAGGTGGGCCTTCCTTCAGTTCCTGGAATGTTCCGCGTCTTTCCTGCCTCGGGGCCGTCACACCTGCTGTCTCTCTTCACCTCCAGCTCCTTCCTACCTCTCAGCTCTGCAGAGAGGATGCTAACGACATGACACCAGGTGCCCCCACCGTTCTCTCCTGTAACATCTGGTACTTTCTACTTGAAGGCACCATTCCCCATTTGCAATTGTATTTTCCCAGGTCGCTGTTTGCTGTCTGCCTCTCTCTGCCGGACCCCTGGCGTCTAGCCCAGTGCCCGGCACGTGTTAGGGGTGCAGCCAGTATTTCAAAGATCGAACGCTGAATGCCGAGCCCCTGCTCCCGGGACACTGGCAGGATGGGCACGTACGGACTGTAGAACTGCAGAGAGGGAGGGACGCTAGCGGGGCTTCCAGGAAGGGCGCCAAGCCAGGGATGTGACTCACCTCTCGCATCAAAGAATTCATCATCTGAGCTCTCCACCGAGTCGCTGAGGACATTTCGAAGGTGCCAGGGGGCACCGCCGCCCGGGGGAGGGCCACCTGCCAGAGGGAACACATCCGTTAGCCAAGCCTGAGACGGCGTCCCAGCATGAGGGAGGTGACCCCAGACCCTGCACCTCTGTGCATCTCCCTTCAAAGCCCAGACTTCACGGAGCCCTCCCTCTCCTAGGCTTCCGTTCAAGCCCCAAAGCCTCTCTGAGAAAGCTCGGCAGGGCAGAGGTGCTAAGACTGAGGTTGAAAGTAGTTAAGGGACTTTTCCTAGAGACTCTGCCAAGCACTGCATCAGTCAGCACAGGGTAAGATGCGCCGTGTTAACGAATGATCTCAGCTGCTTAAAATAGCAATGGTTTGTTTCTCGCTCACACACAGTTTGGAAGGGGGATCTGTTCATCGTGGCCACACAAAGGCACCACCGCCTTATGATGTCACCATCTCAAAATGAAACTCCAAGTTCTGCCCAGGCAGAGGAGAAGAGCACAGAAAATCACACCCAGTCTTAAACACTTCTGCACAGAAATGACACACCGCTGGTCACATTGCACACATGCTGGCCACCAGGCACACATGTCCTGCCCCCACAGAGACCTGGGTTCTTGTATTGGCAATGGTCCTGCCTCAGTTTCTCCATCTGTTCAATGAGAAACCTGGCAGAGACTGTCCTCTGAAACTCGTCCACTCAACGGCTATTTGAGGAGCCCACCTGGCAATGGTCCTGCCTCAGTTTCTCCATCTGTTCAATGAGAAACCTGGCAGAGACTGTCCTCTGAAACTCGTCCACTCAATGGCTATTTGAGGAGCCCACCTGGCACACAGTAGGCATCAATAAGCAAGCAAGAGGTAGACATCCACCCCAGCCATGCCAGTTCGCCACACCCTGCCACCCTGCAGCATGCTGGCACTGTCCCCTGCCCAGGTCCCAGAGCATAAACCGTTCCTGAAGGCAGAGGCCAGCCCAGGTCCCCAGGGACACAGCCCCTCCTGCCTGTCGCCAGCACTGGCCTCATCCACCACACACTCCCAAAGAAACACCCAGCGTGTGCTCCGCGGCTTAGAGCCCAGCCACCTTTAGGTGCAAATCTGGGTCTGCCCCTTAGAGGACCTCCCCATGGGGATCCTCTAAGCTGCTGATCCCTGCCCCTCCCCCCCACACACACACACTGGTGTGACAGGCTGGCTCAACAATTTCCCACCCTTGGGCCCTGATTTTTTGCAATGAGACCTAAGAACCAAGATGCACCCTAGCTGTGTATTTGTAACGTGGATATGGGACAGTTTTCTAAATGCATGTGGAGGAAGTTCTAGCCAGCACAATAAGACAAGAAAAAGAAAAGAAAGGTATACAGATGGAAAAAGGAAGACATAAAACTGTCTTTATTCTCAGATAAAGACACGATTGTCCACATAGAAAGTAAAAACTCTATAAAATCTATTTTTTAAAAACTCCTGGAACTAATAACTGAATATAGTAAGATAGCAGGATATGAGTCAACAAGCAGAGGTGGGTTGCATTCCTATATGCTAACAGTGAGCAACTGAGACTGGAAAATGCAAAAACAATACTGTTTCCAATTGCACAAAAGAATACTGAGGCATAAATCAAATATATGTGGAGATTTCTGTGATTCAAAACAAACAATTACTTAAAATTCTTCCTGAGTTACATTAACTGTTTTCTCAATCAACAGATACTAAAGGTCTAAAAACTGTGTTAGCCTATGCTATATTAACATACTATGTTAATATGCAAATATCCCTTGCTATCCAGATCTACTCCACTCCTAGGATGCTAGAATTTGACTAGTAAGGAAAATCATATCCTCATTTATTCGGCTCCTGAGTTTTGGAAAGTCAGCAGAGAGTTCGCCTAACCATGGAGTCGCCTGAGGATTTATCCGGATCTATTCGGTTCCTGACTCTGAACCTCTTGCAAGGGCTCAGCAGGAGGCTCCTGTGAGTGGTGGCATCATGCATGTACCGTGTACATCCCAAGAGCACAGGCAGGGACATTCCCCCTGGTAACTCACGTGTGGGAGTCCAGGGGGAGGACCGGGCAGATGGGAAGGCCTCAGGGAGGCCAGGCCACTGTCTCTGAGGAAGCAAGTTCTCCCAGCCAGGGCTGGGCAGAAAAGGAGGGACCTGGAGGGCATCAAAGGGGGGGTGGGGTGTTCCCATTCTCCAGGTGCTGCTGGGTGCTGGGGACACCGTGGTGAATAAAAGGGACAGGGTGGGGCTCTCACAAAGCTCACATTCTGCAAGTAGAAGAGGAATGCCCACCCAGATCAGGGAAACGACAAAGACAATTTCGACGTAAAACCTCTCCCTTCCTACCCCCACCACGTTGTCCTTCCTCTAATGTCTCTTACATGTAACTGCAGCCTAAAGATCAGCCAGGCTCGAGCACGTGGGTCTGTACGTCCACACAGGGAGCTTGAGGAGGGAACCGGCCTCAGTTATCAAAAGAACTTTGTCACCTATTCCAGTTGCAAATGCTAGACCGACTTGGAACCTCTTTCTCCTCAAATTCATAGCTGACATTCCTTTTGGATGAACCCTTTACCTTATCACTGTGATTTTCCTTTGTGGTCAAAATACATATTTGAATTTCTTTTCAAAGGCATGTTTTATCTTGTTTGCTAGTGTTCTCCTTATTTTCAAAATGCATGCCTGCATTGGGCATTTTATTTTATTTTATTTTATTTTATTTTTGAGACAGGATCTCTCTCTGTCACCCAGGCTAGAGTGCAGTGGCATCATCGTAGCTCACTGTAACCTCAAACTCCTGGGCTCCAGCGATCCTCCTGCCTCAGCCTCCCGAGTAGCTGGGTCTACAAGCACCCGCCACCGAGCCAGCCTGCACTGGTTTTTAAACGCATACTGTTAAGTTTGTTTAAAGATGATACAAGGTCTTCCCTCCCCTCAGGCAGGGGCTGCCCAAACAACTTCTGGAAAGGTGTTGGGGTGGAAGAAACCTCAGTCATATACGCTTGTATTTTATAAGGAACCTGTAAAATGGATACATTAAGCAGCAGCCGTCAGCTGACTTCTGATGTGAGCTGCTCCCTGCATCTCTCCTCCAGCATGCAGATTTTTTACCAAACAGCAAAGGTCACATTTCAAAGAAGGAACTGAGCAATGGACAGAATGTCTCAGGAGGGGTCAGAGGGGAAAACTTTTCCGAAAAGGTATCAGATGAGCTGAGGCGTGAATGATGAGCCAACCGTGCTTAGTGCATGCGTGCATATGTGTGTGTGTGTGCCTGCACATGCATGAAAGCTCATGCACATACATGTGCTATGGACAGGGCAGAAGGTGCGGGGAAGAGCCTTCTTGGATGCAGGAAGTGCAAGCGTGAATTTGCACATGAGCTTGGCATTTTTGAGGGGCAGAAAGAACCCTACATAGCTGGAACCAATGGCCGAAGGGGACAGGAATGAGAGGAGGCGACAGAGGAAATGGAACCAGACCTGTCACAGACGGAAGCTTGCAACAAGTGAGTTTTAAGTTTCCTCCCATGGCCCAGTGTCTATCATCTGCAAACTTCAAGAAGAGGGACATGCAGATGCCCAAGAGGGTCAGAAAGTCTCCCGGGGGAGAGGGCTGCAGGTCAGGTGTGCTGAGGCCACACAGGTGCCTGAGAGTCAGAGCAGGTGGGCATGACGGCCCTAGAACGTTGAGGACAAAGGCCCAGCAGCACAGCCTTCTTGAGGTGGGTCCCTGCTACATGTCTCCGCATTTCCTGGGTCCAGTATGTTGTCCCAGGTGGAAGGGGGCCAAGAAGTGTTTGACCAACAAGTGAATGAAAACAAATGATCTGCTGAGTGTGCCAGATACTGTCTACATATCCAGGTCTCATCCAGAGCCTTCCAACCCAAGCCCAGCGGAGTGGGTGTAATGAATCCCCCCGTACAGCCGAGCAAACAGAGGCTCAGAGATCTGAAAGCGTTTGCTCCAGGACATAAAGTTGGTAAGTGTCGGAGGCAGGATTTGAACCAGATCCGACTCCAGCATTTGTGCTCAGGACCACCCGGCCGGGCCCCTCTGCAGAAGAGCTCAGGGTGGAGGCCCAGTCTTCCCCTGTCTCCACCGCCTGCTCTCTTGGCCAATAACAGCCCTTCCACATGCTGCTGGCTAGCTGGGCAAGGGGCCAGAGGCCTGCCCCCGGCTCCTCACGGGGGCCTCAGCCCTGGGGGCTCAGCTCCCCCAGTTCTAGAACCATCTGATCACCAGGTTTACAAAGTAGTATCTGGGTATCCTCGTGTCGGTGGGAAAATCTAAATGGACGTGTACGTTCCTATATCGAGGTGTCTAGCATTACCCAAGCATCTGTCGCTGTGTCTGCATGGCTGTGTGTGTGCGCACGCGTGCATGCGTGTGCGTGTGTGTGTGTGTGTGTGTGTGTGTGTGTGTGTGTGTGTGTGTGTCTACACTCCTTGGAGAGCGTGAGCTCCCCAACCCACCACTCCCCCTGGCTAAGGCTCTTCCTAAGACACACTCATGCACGTGTGACCTCATATATTCTCTCACTCTCTCGTTCTCTTTCGTTCCCTCTCTCTCCCTTCCTCCTTCACAGATGAATATAGACTATATAGTCTATAGAATATAGACTAGCTCCAGCTATGGGTGAAAATTTAGCAGACAGGTTAGAACACATGGGCCTTGGAGCAATACAAACCTTGGTTCAGGGCCACCACTTACTAGCCTATGACAGGAAGCAAGTTAACTTCTCTGAGCCTCACTTTTCTCAACTGTAAAATGGGTATCATAATCCTTCCCGCACTGTCAGGAGATTTAAGTGATATCAGCCACCAAAGCGTCCAGCCTACTGCCTGGCACTTGGGACAGGTGGCCCTTGTCAGCTACAGGAGCAAGGATTGAGGCAGGGCAAGCCCACCTGGGGGGCTTCCAGACAGCTGCCAGAGGCCCTCCCCAGGGAGCTCCTTCTGTGTCCCCCACATTTACTTAAAACCCCAAATCAGGATTAACGAGAAGGGATGACCCAAACTGTCCCCTAGCAATCCAGAGAGAAGCAAATGACCCTT